AGATTCCACATATAAATATTTGTCTTTCTTTGACTTATTTCACTTAGTATATTACTCTGTAGATCCATCCATGTTGTCACAAATGGTAAGATTTCATTCATTTTATGGCCAATGTAATATTCCATTGTGTATATGTACCATATCTTTATCCAATTGTCTATTGATGGGCACTTGGTTTGTTTCCATACCTTGGCTATTGTATATAATGCTGCAATGAACATAGGTGTACATAACCCAGTTTTAAAAAGTACTCTGCAAAGATTTTCACCCTTATCCAAATAATTTTCTTTCAAATATTTTCATTTGAAGAAGGAAAAAGAGTTATAATTCAAGTGGTATACGTTATCACTTTTTTTGTACATGGCTCTCAGTGACATCAGTAACCACTTCTAAAGAGTGCTAATTTGTATGCACAATGCCTGACCACCAGCAGCAATATAGATTGGCCTTAAAACCATCTGTGTCTTGGCTTTCTCTCTAAGAGCTAAACCATTATTCTTAGTTGCTTAATCCAAGCACTAGTTTAATTAGATTAGTATGCCATTTCTCCCAGCAGATCTCATTTCAGTTTTGAGAAAGTTCCACTCTGGCATAAAGAAGCTGAATTCTGACTGTTTTTCAAACAAAAGTAAAAGCTTATAAGTAAAAATGTATTCATTGGATAGTCTGCTCCATAGCTTCTAAAGCCAAAATATCTTCTTTATTCTCTGATCCATGATGAACATCTGGTTCTCTAGTTTAGAGTTTTAATCTTTTATGATTATTATTTCTACATTTTGCATTTAAAATTTGCCTATATGTCAGTTGTTGCTGTAAAACAAGATACCCTAAAATCGGTGGCTTAAAACAATAACCATGTATAGACCTTATAATTCTGTCAGTTGTTAATTCAAGCTAGGCTCAGATCACTGTTATTTTTTTCTTTTTTTCTTTCTTCTGGGCATGTGAAATCAGATGATCATAGAGCTGCCTGGCTAGTCTGGGGGACCTCATGTTGAATGGTTTGTCTCTGCCCCATGTGCTTTCTCATTATCTGGCAAGCTAGTCCAGGCCTTTGCCAGGTTCGTGTTAAGGTCTCAAGATCTGAGAAGAAACAGACAAAACCTTTTGAGGTCATGGCTCAGAATGGACACATCACAATATGCTATCATGTTCCATAAGCCAGCGCGAGCCAATAGTCTAAAATACACTAACGTAAGGAGATAATGGCCCAACTCTTGATGAGTGGAGATTCACAGTCTTACTTTATAGGTGCTCATACTGGGAGGGAATCAATTGTAGTCAATTTTGTAATGCAGCGCATTTTTATTCATATTTTTGTTCCTTTATTTTCATTTATAATTGTTTTATTCAATTGTTTAACACATGAGTTACACTACTTTTTCAAATTGTCCTATTAACTCAAATTTTGGAGTGCTGACCTTTTGGTTTATTGAGTTTTATTATCTTCTATATTATGGAGATTTCTTCAGGTAATTGGTAAATTTCATCAAGAGAACCCCCAGGGATGGTGTGTATGTGCACGTGAGCACATGTGTGTAGTGATGGTAAAAAGTGAGGAAAGGGTCCCATTTCCCTGAGATGTGGAAGTTTTGCTAAAGACTTTTTTTTTTTTAATTTTTAAAAATTGTTTCTGTGTGTTCCTGAAGTTCTGTATGTACTAGGATGTGGTTGGAAGATTCCCACACAATGTAGGCGATATAAAATTTAACTCTAATTTATACTCACATAATAATACTTTTTTTTCTTCTTGAAATATCAGGCAGATTAACCATCCATGTTACTTCTCAGTGCAAGTAACAGGTTTTTCTAGTCTGTATTTCACATGTGAAAACTCTTATGGGGCCTCAGTGGGCCAGGGCTTTTAGTTTGAGCTCCCTCGTTTGGACACATTGTGATGAAACACTGGCCTCGAGCTCCTGCCCAGCGCTTAGGGCCGCAGCGTTTCCGAGCCTGAGACTTTCGTGATGTCAACTTGTGGATTTATGTTTCTTACCTGAAACCCCCCCCCCTTTTTTTTTTTCCCCAAGCACCAAGGGATTTGTCTTTCTTTTATATTGAGTTTAACTTGTTTGTTTTTGCTCTTGTATTTTATTTTAAAAATTTCATATGTTTGAAGCAGAATGTATATTCGGCACTCTCTCTTTTTAATACTCTCCCCAAAGAGTTAGTAGAGATTTTTTGTTTGTTTGTTTGTTTTTAATTTTAACTAATCTAGATTATAGGACCACTTCAGTCAGTAATTGTAACTCATTATGAAAATTTACTTTAGTGTTTAACAAGCCAGACATGCCTACTTAAACATCAGAGTGCCTCCATGTTAATTGAATCCTGAGGTTTTATCAATATACATATCTCATTAGGAAACACATTATCTTCTTTGATCCACTGTGGTCTTTGAAGTTACTGCAACGATACAACACAGAGATGCTATATACCTGGTTAAACTGACTAAAATCCTGACTTTCTCTATTGACATGCTCCTTAAAAGATTGTCTGTAGTCAGAAGTGGTTTTATTTACCACTGTCTTTGGTATGTGCAGAGATTCCACAGGCTAGTAGTTTTAAGAGGTTATCTTTGAGCCTTTATCCAGCAAGCTGTAATCAGAGGGTGGGGATGTCTGTTCTAGATTATACCTTACGTATACTGTTATAGGATGGGGCAGAAGAACACGACTCAAACTGAGTTTCAACAAACACAAGTCCCAGAAAGAACTGAGTAAAAACATGGGCCAGGTGGCCAAATAATTTTGAAAAGTACTACACACAATAGTATTCGGGATTATGTATAATCCATATTCATATTATAAAAAGTTCTCTAAATCCTGATATAAAGGACTTTTTAACCATATTCACACACACACATATATATCCACACATATTTGTACATGTTTTTATTGATTTTTTTTTTAGAGAGAGAGACAGAAACATGGATGTGAGAAACTGCATCGATCTGCTGCCTCCTGCACACCCCCTACTGGGAATTGAGCCTGCAACCCAGGCATGTGCCCTGACCAGGAATCGAACCGGGACCTCTCAGTCCATGAGACAATGCTCAATTCACTGAGCCACATAGGCCAGACACCCTATACTTTTTAAACTTTATTTTTCAGAGTAGTTTTGGGTTTACAATAAAATTGAGAGGTAGATACAGAAATTTACCATATATTCTTTGCCCCCACACATGCATATCTTCCCCCATCACCAGCATCACCTACCAGAGTGGTAGATTTTTTTATGGAGGAGGAACCTGCAATGACACATTAAAATCACCCAAAATCCACAGTTGAGTTTAGGGTTCACTCTTGGTGGTCTACATTCTTTGGGTTTGGACAAATTTATAATAGCATGTATCCATCCTTATAATAAAATAGAGTATTTTCAATGCCCTAAAATCCTCTGGGCTCTGCATATTTGTCTTTTACCCCTACCCTAGAGTAATCACTAAATATTTTAATCTTTTTTCCTTCTGACACATATCCCCCAAACATAAATTCCATTTTAAAATAATTAGAACAGTTTGAGGTTTACTAAGAACACTGGAAATTGCATTTCAAAAATGTGAGTGAGGTCGTAGGTACACATACTTTTACTTAAAAAAAACAACAGACCACCAAGAACCTCTTACATTCAAAGCAAACTGGAGGCATTTAAATTTTTTTTTGTTACCTCTGGACCCCCTTCACCCATTTTTTACACTTAAGCATAAACAATCTTTGTATCATGTTCATAGTTTTGCCTTTTCCAGATGTTTTATAGTTAAAATCACACAGTATGTTGCCTTTTCTTATTGACTTCCTTCACTTAGCCATATGCATTTAAGGTTCCTCCTTGTTTAAGGTCCCTCTATGTCTTTTCATGGCTTAATAACTCATTATTTTTAGTGCTGAATAATATTCCATTTTCTGGATATACCACAGTTCATTTATCCATTATTTACCTAAGGACATCTTAAGTTGCCACAAGTTTAGGTAATTATGAATAAAACTAGCATAAATATCTGTGTGTAGATTTTTCTGTGGACATAAGTTTTCAGTGCCTTTGGGTAAATTCCAAGGAATATGACTACTAGATCATATGGCAAGCATGTATGTAGTTTCTAAGAAACTGCTAAACTATACCTCAGACTGGATGTAACTCTTTGTATTCCCACCTGCAAAGATTAAGAATTTCTGTAACTCCACATCATTGCCAGCATTTGGTATTATCAGTGGTGTGAATTTCAGCCACTCTAATACATGTGCAGTGGTATCTCATTGTTTTAATTGGCACTTTTCTGATGGCATATGATATGAAGCATCTTTTTATATGTTTATTTGCCATATGCGTATCTTATTTGATGAGGTGTCTATTCAAGTCATTGACCCAATTTTTTTCTGGTTTTAAAATTTTTTATTTGCATATTTAAAAAATTGTGCATTCCAATAATTAAAATAATTTTAAGAAAAAAGACGTGCTGATTAAATTGTATTGTAAAGTCCAGCCCTTGTGGCTCAGTGGTTGAGCGTCGACCCATGCACCAAGAGGTCGCCAGTTCGATTCCTGGTCAGGACACATGCCCAGGTTGTGGGCCCAATCCCTAGTGAGGGGCATGAAGGAGGAGGCCAATCAATGTTCTCTCTCACTGATGTTTCTGTCTCTTTCTCCCTCTCACTTTCCCTCTCTCTAAAATCAATAAAGAAAAAATAAAATAATAAAACAAAATAAATTGCATTGTAAAGCCTGCAGGACAGCTTGATTTTCACTCTTGAGTTTACTGTTGTCCCACCCAGCTTCTTCCTTCACCAACATGCAGGTTCTTTTCCTTCCCTGCCAGCCAGACAGGCAGATGGGAGAGGCAGGTGCCACCTCCACTGTCAGTGATTCTCTGATGTGAAAAAGGGCAGCAGTCAATTAAACTGATCCAACCTCTTGGCACCTTACAAAGTTAAACGCCTAAAAGAAGTAAAATAAGAAGGTAATGCTTGTGGAAAATACAGTGAATATTGGTGGTGCGTGCCTCATGATTTGCCTGCTTGCTTCTCCTGTTCAATAGTTTCCTTTGAAGGCAGTGGATTTTTCTCTTGAGTTTCTGTCTTCTTCAATTTTGACTTATCAAATTTTTCGGTGTCAGTCACACCAGGTTTGTCAAACATGGTTGCCAAGGAAGCCGAGTGAGGTGGGTGCATAAGAGGAGTCTGATCTGTTCAGTGAACACCACTGAGTTCCAATTTTTAATTGTTCTATTTTTAATTCTTCGCATATTTTGGATAACAGGCCTTTATATGATGTGTCTTTTGCAAATATTTTCTCCAAGTCTGAGGCTTATTTTGACATCCTTTAAAAATGTCTTTTACAGAGCAGGGTTTTTTTGTTTGTTTGTTTTTGTATTTCAATAAAATCCAGCTTATAAATTATTTCTTTCATGGATTGCACCTTTGATGTCATATCTTAAAAGGGCAACACTATACCCAAGGCCATCTAGGCTGTCTCCTAGCAATGATCTCCTAGGTTATCTTATATTATTTTTATAGCTTTGTATTATACATTTAGGTCTTTGACCCATTAAGAATTAATGTTTGTGCCCTGGCCAGTTTGGCTCAGCAGTTGGAGCTTCGGCCCACGGACCAGAGAGACCTGGGTCCGGTTCCCGCAAAGAGCATGTACCTCAGTTGCAGTTTTTCCCCTGCCCTGGTTGGGGTTGTATGGGTGGTGACCAGTCAATGTGTCTCTCTTACATAGATGTTTCTCTCTCTGTCTTCTCCCCTCTCTCCCTCCCATTCTACCTGAAGATAAATGCAAAAAAAAAAAAAAACAACAACTTAAAAGAATTAATTTTTGTGAATGGTGTAAGGACTGTCTACATTTTTTTTTTCCTCATGAAGAGAGTCCATTTGTTCCACCAGCATTTGTTGTAGAGACTGTCTTTGCTTCGTTTTATTGCTTTTGCTCCTTTGTCAAAATGAATTGACTACCCTTATAGGGGTCTTATTTCTGAACTCTATATTATATGCTATTGATTAATTTGTCTGTCCTTTCACAGATGATAGATTGTTGTGATTATTGTCATTTTATAGTAAATCTTAAAATTTGCTAGTGTCAGTCTTCCAAATTCCCTATTTCCTTCAATATTATATAGGCTATTCTGAGTGTTTTGCCTCACCCTATATTTAGTATCAGTTTATAATATCCATAAAATAACTTGCTTGGATTTTGGCTGAGATAGCATTGAATCTCTAGATCAAATTGAGAAGAAATGACATCTTGACAATATTGTGTCTTCCTATTCATGAACATGAAACATCTCTCCATTTATTTACTTCTTTTCATTTTAATTTATTTGAATTTTGTAGTTTTCCTCACATAAATCTTGCATATATTTTGTTAGAGTTATACCTAACTACTTCATTTTGGGGCATGCTAATATAAATGGTATGTTTTTAATTTAAAAGTCCACTTGTTTATTGTTAGTATATAGTAAACCCATTGACTTTTGGGTATTAACTTTTTATGTTGCAACTTCCCCATAATCACTTACAAGTTCCAGAGGTTATTTGTTTTTATTATTATTATTATTCTGGAATTTTTTTTTTTTAATTCTCACCCAAGGACATTTTTTTATTTTTGATCAGAAAGAGTGGGAGGGAGAGAGAAAAACATCGGCATGAAAGGGACACATCTAGCAGCTGCCTCCCGCACAACCCTAACCAAGGGACAAATTGCAACCGAAGTAAGTGCCCTTGACCGGAATCGAACCTGTGACTCATTGGTCCACCGGTCGACACTCTAAAGGCTGAGACAAACTGGCCAGGGCCCTTTTGGAATTTTAATACAGATGACCATGTTACCTGTGAACAAAGATGGTTTTATGTCTTCCTTAAGTTTATAGAACTTTTGTTTCTTTTTTGTGCCTTACTGCATTAGCTGGAACTCCCAGCATAATGTTGAAAAGGGGGGTGGTAAGAAAACTTGTTCCAGGTCTCACTGGGAAGGCTGCAAGTGTTTCAGCATTAAGTGTGATGTTACCTATGGGGTTTTTTAGATACACTATTTTTTTCTTTTTTATCCTCACCTGAGGACATTTTTCAATGTTTTGTTCAGATAGAGTGGGAGGGAGAGAGAGAAAAAAAAAAAAACATGAAAGGGACACATCGAGTGGTTGCCACCCACACGACCCAACCTGGGTCGGGGACAAACTGCAACCGAGGTACGCGCCCTTAGCGGGAACCGACGCTGGTCTGTACAGACCACAGGCCGACACTCTAACCACTGAGCAAAACCAGCCAGGGCTAGATATTCTTTATCAAGTTGAGCAGGATTCCCTCTATTCTTAGTTTACTGAATGTTTTTCTCATGAATAGGTATTGTCTTTTGCTGCGTCTATTGATATTTTCTTGTGATCTTTTCTTTTTAGTCTGTTGATCTATTACATTACATTACTTGATTTTTTTATTTTTTTAATGTATATATATTTTATTGACTGATTTTAGAGACAGAGGAAGGGAGAGGGTGAGAGAGAGAGAAACATCAATGAGAGAGAACATTGATTGGACACCTCCTGCATACCCCCCACTGGGTATCAGGCCCACAACTTGGGCAAGTGCCCTGACTGGGAATCGAACTGGCGACCTCTTAGTGCATGGGTCATTGCTCAACCACTAAGCCACATTGGCTGGGCTTTAGTTGATTTTTTAAAAATACGTTTTTATTGATGTTTTTAGAGAGAGAGGAAGGGAGAGAGAGATAGAAATATCAATGTGAGAGAGAAACATAGATCAGCTGCCTCCTGCATGCCCCCCTATTGGGGATCAAGCCCACAACCTCGGCATGTACCCTGACCAGGAATTGAACCAGGACTTCTCAGTCCACGGGACAATGTTCAATCCACCGAGCCACAATGGCCAGGCACATTCGTTGATTTTTTATATACTAAACCAGACTTCTATACCTGGGACAAATCCCCCTTGGTCATAATGTATAATTTGTTTTATATGTTGTTGGATTACATTTGCTATTTTATTCTTACTGATTTTTACATCTATGTTGATGAGAGATATTGGTCTGTAGTTGATTCTTATAATGTCTTTGTCTGGTTTTGATATTAGGGTGATGCTGACCTCATAGAATAAATTAGGATGTATTTCTTATGCTTCTATGAAATTGGTATAATTTTTTTTCCCTTAAAAGTTTGGTAGAATTTACCAGTGAACACATCTGGGCTTTAAACTTTATATTTTTGAAGGTTGCTAATTATTTATTCAATTTCTTTGATATAAGCCAATTCAGATTTTATATTTCTTCTTGTGTGAGTTTTGGCTCATTGTGTCTTTCAAGAAATTGTTCCATTTCATTTAAGTTATTCAATTTGTTGCCATAGAATGAGACCTACAATGATGCTCCCTCCTCTTTTCTGAATCAGTAATTTGTGTCCTCTATCTTTTTTTCTTAGCCTGGTTAGTGGTTTATTGATTTTATTAACCTTTGTGAAGAACCAGCTATTGTTTTTGTTAATTTTTTGTATCGATTTCCCTTTTTCAATTTTATTGATTTTTTGCCCTAATCCTTAGTAATTATTTTCTTCTGCTTCCTTGGATTTAATTTGCTCTTGTTTTTGTGGTATCTTAAGATGGAAATTTAGATTAGTTTAGATCTTTCTTTTTTTCTAATCTTTCTTTTTTTTGGTGTTATAAATTTTTCTTTCTGCACTTTTTTTTTTTTTTTGTACAGACAGAGTGGGAGGGAGAGAGAGGAAGAGAGAGAGAGGGAAACATCGATGTGAAAGGGACACATCGAGTGGCTGCCACCCGCACGACCAACCAGGGCCGGGGACAAACTGCAACCGAGGTACATGCCCTTAGCAGGAACCGAACCCGGGTCTCTCCGGACCGCAGGCGGACGCTCTAACCGCTGAGCCAAATCGGCCAGGGCTGCACTTTTTTTTTTTTTTATTGCTGCATCCAACAAATTCAGTTATGTTGTGTTTTCATTTCCGGTTAGTCAAAAGTATTTTTAAATTTTTCTTGAAATTACTTCTTTGTCTAGTATTATTTAGAAGTGTGCCATTTAATCTCCGTATATTTAGGAATTCTTCCAGTTACCTTTTGTTACTGATTTCTCATTTAATTCCATTGTGTTCTAAAAGAAGTATGCTTTCTATTATATTAAATTTGTAAAGGTGTATTTTGTGGCTCAGAATGTCTCTCTTGGTGAATACTCCGTGTAAGCTTGAGAAAAATGTGTGTTCTGTTGTCTGTAGATATCAATTATATCCAGTTATTGAGTGTATTGGTGAGTTCAACTATGTGCGTACTGATTTTCTGCCTGCTAGATATGTCATTTTTTTGAGAGAGGGGTGTTGCCATCTCTAATATGATAGTTGAATTCATCTATTTCTCCCTGCATTTCTATCAGTTTTTGCTTCTTTTAGTTATGGCAGTCTGTTGTTGGGCAAATAAACATTAAGATTTGTGATGCTGTCTTGAGTATTTGACCCCTTTATCATTATATAACGCCCTTTTTATTTCTGATAGTATTTCTTACTTTGAAATCTATCTACAATAAATATAGCTAATTTTTTTTCTTTAGATTTAAGTGATAGCATGTTACATTTTCTCTTACCCATTTACTTTTAATCTATATATCTCTCCTCATTTCAAGTGTATTTCTTATATACAACATATAGTCAGGTTGGTTCAACCACTCTGACAATCTGTCTTTTAATTGTGAAATTCAAACCCTCAGAATTCAAGTAGCTACTGATATAATTAGATAAATGTTCAAATGTTTTCATTGTTTTCTATTAGTTACCTTTCTTTTTTTTTTTTTTTTGTCTTCCACATCTTTTTTAGCCTTTCCTGGTTTTAATTAGCATTTTATAATTCTATTTTCGCTCCATATTTAGCTATGTTATATTTATTTTTTTAAACTTTTAAAAAATTATTATTATTTTTTCTTATTGTTTTCCCTTCGCCCCATCCCCACCTTTGTTGGCCATGTCCATTAGTTATGTGTACATGCATATAAATTCCGTGGTTTATCACCCCCCTAAGTCCCCTCCTCTGAGATATGTCAGTCTGTACCCCACCTCTATGTCTCTCAGTCAGTTTTGTTCATCAGTTTGTTTAGTTCATTATATTCCCCAAAGAAGTGAGATCAT